AAAACCCCCCGGGTTTTTAGTTTTCAACGCGAGTTACAAATCCAAAGAAAAAAAAAAAGGGGTTATGAAAAGGGTAAATGCCGGACCAGGTATTTAAAACATAGTTTAATTTAAAATTTCTGTGCAAAACAGCAACACAAAAGGTTGAAAAAGCATTATTCAAAAAGTTTAACCCCCCCCCCCCCCAAAAAAAAAAATAAAATAAAATAAATAAAACTAGTTGTAGCTTTCGCCAAGTGCCAACGAGAGAAAAATAATTTGCCCACAACACCGGTTTTAGTTCCAATGTTTATAAAACCATTTCTGCCACTGAGGCAAGAATTTCCACTGCAAGCACTCCTCGTTCCTACATTTCTGCCATGCTCTTGGCCTTAAAATCGTTCTTATTCTTCTGTTTAGACATTTTTGGACCTTAAACTTGTCGAGTTTTAAACAGCGAAAGGGAAATAACTCTTGTAGGTTAGCGCAAACTTGAAATAGCGAGTTGTAGTTCGTACATGTACGGCAGTGTGACAGAGAACAATGTCCGAACTTTGAAGGTTTGTTTACAACAAAGGTCATCTAAAGTCACGTGAAACTACACGTGAAATTTAACGCTGCTAGAATCCCCAGGGAGTCTACACCTTACACTTTTCACAGCACGATCGAGAATTTTTCAGCCTGCTGCAATACTTCTCATGGCATTAAGCTGGCCGCCTCGCAAGCCGACCGTCTCCGCTCGGCTTGCTCGTTGGCAATAAAAAATAAACTAAAAAATTCTGCTGCATTTGAAACACATCCTCCCCATCTCCACTGGATTTTGAACAATTTACTCCCCTTCTCTAAACACCGGCCTCCCTTTGTACAGTCCCTCCTTACACCACGGAAAAAATTAAACCGATGCTCGGCCTTCAACCTCGGTGAATCTACATAATTCTTCATATCATACGAAAGCCCAATTTAGGAATTGTTTTATTATTCACTGTTTACTAGTTTCAACGTAAAAAAAATCCTTACCTGTATCTCAGTGGTATGTATAGTTCATGTCTCCATACAATTTGCCCCCTGCTCAGCTGCTTTACGATGTGAAGTGATGTTTATTCTAGGAAATATTCCTCAAATAGCAGTTGTCATCCTTCAAGAGGTATTTTTGCTATTCTGGCCAGGTTTTTAGGCAGTAGTACGGAGGGGGGTGAATAGGGGTATGCAAATCCGCCGATCCGTGGTATTTTTAGGCCCGATCCGTCGATCCGACTTAATTTTTGTTCAAATCCGAATCCGTGTTACTTGAAAAATTTTTCCTGGTATAAAGAAAGTAGCGTTGTAGCATGAAAAAATGAATTACTTAATATCGTTGTTCTGTAATCGCAACAGATGCGGGACTTCATGTTTAAGAAGTTTTCGTTCAAGTTTCAAAACGTTAAGGTGATTCCCTGGTTTTGCACTTCGCATCTCTTACTGCGCATAACAAGATGGCCTCCGTA